CCCCAAAACCCCAAAACCCCAAAACCCCTGCCATAGAATAATATATTGAAAGAGACGGATAAAATACTCAAAAGTGTGGTCTATTTCATCATTTTATTTTCTCAACATTTATACCTATAAGTGAAGCATTTGAGGAAAGGCAAATAGGAATCCACTCCAAATCCAAGAGCATAAAGATTACACTTGACCAGAAAGTATTGTTTCAGGTTCTAATTTAATCGATCGAAAATAAAAACCGCTCTTAGTTTGTGTAGCTAAAAAGTTTCGTAAACAAGTTGATCCCCTAGTATTTAGTCTTAGAACTCTTAATATTTATAGTAGTTTATAGAGTTCTAGGCACTTAGAAACTTTGGATATACATTAGAAAAGAGAAGAAATTGCTTGAATCGTACTCTAAGTCAACATAACACTGATTTTCGAGAACATAAAAATATTAAATAAACTTGACAACTCTTTAGTGCTGGCTTCTTGAACAATGAAGGATCTTACCTTGGCTATTTCTTTAACCGTTACCCTCTACTTTGGTTAGTTTGAAGTACATCTAGGCTGATTAGCTATTTCTACATATAAAAATAAGATTAAAATGCCGCATGAAGCTACTTTATCAAATTCTGAAGTGGGCGTCACCTTAATTATCTAGCGAAGACTGTAAATGTTCATCAAGAATGTGAGTGAAAAATTTATCTTTAGCTTTCAGGATCGGATGAACAAATTAGAGAAATGCCAAGATCTTAGCTCTGGCTTTAACTGGGTGCTAAACTTATTTAAAGGAGGAAATTTCTTGAGAGTTAATGTAAAATATAGTTTTTAGGAGATATTTGACAATATGCTCCTTAGAATCCATGATTTCTGATATACTAAGAAGCTGTGAGAAGTAAGAATCATTCTTGCGAGGATTACTAAAGATCTTGATGCATTAGATACTGTCTTCGAAAGGAACTCCAGATTTATTTTTCCTATTGTGATCGTAGAATCTTCTGAGCATCCATTTCAGTATGGTTAATTCTCTCATTTCTCTATTTGTGTAGTTCTTGCATTTTCTTATTCAGCTTATTTATTGTTTCATTAAGCGTGGTGTTTTCTTTATAGATATCTCTCTTCAATCCTTCAACTTTCTGACATTTAATTTTTATGGTTTCCTTATTAGCATGTGGGATCTTCCATTCTCATATATAAAGTTGGCTTTGGTAGTACAAAAAATGCTTAAGGTTACTTAAAGGGTTTAAGAAAATAAGGCAATGCCTTTGCTCCCTTATTTTTATACTTAATTAGCTCTTGCTGCCTCAGCTCTAGTTTTTCTCGGATGAAAAGTATGATATATTCAGTAATTAGAGTGTTTATCAAATACCTATTTTGTATCCAGGACCTTTCGAAGTGTTGATAGCCAACTCCTGCCTTATACTCAGCCATATATGAATAAATAATTAGCTTAGCTTTAATGAAGGGAAGTAAGTTTTCAACTCTCAAACTTTTAATAGATTAAATGCTTCGAATAAGAAATTTGGAGAAGAGGGTGAACTATAAGGTAACTATTTGGCTTAATGTTAGTGTCTTCTTCCCACTAATAATGTCACGAATAAAGAATGAGTTGGGCTCTCTTATAAAAGGAAAATACATCTCAGCTTTCACTTCAACAAATCTATACATCTCACATTTGGGTTTTGATACTTTGCAGCAATATACTGTCATAAAATTCCATAACTGTCTCGGAGTAAATTAATAATGACAAAGGAGGATCAGGACTGATATATGTAATGCCTTATTAACCATCATTAGTGTAAAGTTTTGACCCGTTTCTAATGAGTAGCTCTCTTAGATTTTTCAACAAAACTTATTTGCTCTTTTCAGTCTAAGAAATCATGGAAGTAATTTCTAATTGGGCAGAATAAAATTACCTGATTCTATTAATTTACATACCATTCTAAAGATAATTGAACAACACTAAAGCTCATCAGGAGAGGATTATCCAATTCTCAGGCAAACTTGTGGAGGGACTTTGAAATTCCTGGGACAAAATTATGCATGATTTTGGATAGTAGGTTCATCTGGATAAACCATAACATATTGAAATTCTCTGATCGTTTAAGCCTCAAAAGACTCTCCAAACAAGAGCTCTAAAATATTGTCCGTGGGCAACTTAGAATGAATATGAAGAAATAAGGATAAACGACAATCCTGAGCTTCTTACAAGTGTTTATTTACAAGGAGTTAAGTATAAAGAGAGCTCCTGAAAAGAAACAGAAGGGAGAGGCTGACATTCATGCAGAAAAATATACTGACTCTCTGGTTAGGAATAAAGAATTGAAGGCCTTTAAGAAGAGAAAAAGTATTATACAAGTTACTCAGTAATGTACTGAATTTCAAAATGATTCTAAAAAGGGAGTGGGACGTTCAAGAGATGAAGAGATAATATAACTACAAATATCGAGGAAGAAACTACATAATTTTTCAATCATCTTGGGTCTATTTTCAATCAAGAATGTTAGAGATCACCTTATGAAGACGGAAACAATTGGGCACAGTCTTGATAGGATATACCATTTCATGAAAAATAAAATGAAATTATCTTACAACACATCTTGTCAATACCATCTTTTGATAATAAAATGGTAAACCTTATCCAGGCTTTTCAGCTGTAAAATCAAATCCTACATTTCTTCAATCATAGAATCTGATCATACATTTATCTAAATGCACCACTTTTAAATGCTAGGGAGAGCTTAACAATCAGATCTATGAAACAATCATACTTTTGAATGAAGACTAGAGCAGAGTCCATCCTCTGTAATTAAGACTTAGTAAACCCAGCTGACGTCATCCCATATAATTGATGCTAACTTATATCCATCGGCTAAGGTACTACTAATGCAAAAGACCTTAAGAAGGTTTATTCCAGACTTTTAAGCATTTGAATAAGCAGTGAGGATATTCATTAGACAAAATAATACTCATACTTGGGAATGCATTTGTTCACAGAGACAAGTATATGAAGGAGAACACCTCTGAATAGAGAATTGCTGTTGTTTTCCTATCTCAATATTTTCCCGAGTATTCTCGAATTGAACTCTACTTTGAGTAAATGAAGACAAATCTGATGGACTTGTCTAAAGGCTGCAATATTGACTTCAGAGTGATGAAGGTCAAGGCGAAAGTCTTAATAACATACAGCAATGTAAATGAGTATTCGATCATGAAGATGTTGTCAAAGATTTTAATTTAAATCAAATCAGATCGAACTCAAGAGATAGATTCAAGGTGGCTATTCTAAAATCTCCTTTGGTTAGTTAGGAGTGTGTATGCATGATTTTCAACCACCAAGAGTTGTATCCTTAAGGTTGTCAAATCATATCAAGGGAAAATCTCTATTCAAAATTTATTAAATGTTTAAATCTAATCTAACCAAACTCTTCAATTTTTTATAAAATCCTAGGGGTTTTGGGGTTTTGGGGTTTTGGGG